CTTTGCTGTATTGCAATCTGTTCTAGGGTAATCTAAAAATAGATTTGATATATCCTGTAGGACCTGACATTAGTTGTTGCTACATCACTTAACTATTTTTGTTCATGCCGACCGTGGTTAGTTGTGTATCATATACGGATGTGTGTCAAGCTAAGGTAGGATTCAGTGTGGATTCTAGTTTAGATCACACACACTGTAGCTCATGAGTGATGCAAGCACAAGTGAGGAGGAGTTACTAGTGGACGACCGTAGGACTACTCGCGGGACTGCCCGCAATCGACCCTTGACATTCCTGGAGTTAGGTCCAGGAGACGAGAGAAGATTGAGGAGAGAGGCTAGAGAGAGGACAGCGGCAAGGAGAGCGAGGGCAGTTGAGGATAGTGCTAGGGCTAGAACTTCAGCTAGCATCAGTGCAGCCATGGCTACCTCATCTATGACACAATCCTCTACACAGCCCACTTCGTCAGGAGTCAGTCAGAGTGGCACTCAGAGAGTCACTAGTCAGATTAGTCATGTGCGAGTCGGCCAGTCTCCACTCACACCGGAGGACTTAGAAATCCGGCAGGCAGAAGAACTTCAGGATGAGTTACAGCGGCAGATGGACGATGTAGTAGAGAGGAGAAGGAAAGCTATGCAAAGAAAGGCTAGACTAGAGAGTAGAGCTCAGGAGCTAGGCAGACTGGAAGGACTAGATGAGTCAACATTAGACCTTGTTGTCCGTGTGCTGCGAGGCGCCTTACTTTCAGTGGCGGAAGCGCAAAGCGTTCAGCAGGAATTGTTGGCTGATTTAGTAGCAGGCCAGAAACAAATTCTGGCTGAACTACGGGGTCCTCGCACAATGGTGAGGCCGCCACAGTTTGCTGTAGTTCCCCCTGCAGCTGCGGGTCCATCATCGATGCCGCAACGTACAGGGCAAACTTTCTCTCCCATGTTTGGCATACCCTCCCCGGGTGGTTTAGTAGCAACTAGTGGTCCGGTTCATTCAGTCTCAGCCGTACCATCTACAACAGTGGTCACTACAGTCCCACTGTCCAGCCAGACTCAGGTTAGTATGCAACAACCTGTTTCAGTGGCTATGCAGCGCTGCAGCAAGCACCTGGGCCCATGCAGCCTATGCAGTGGATGCCCAAGATAGCTTTGACGAGTCCCAAGCCTTTCTTCGACGATAAGAAGAAGGAGGAAGACTTGGACACCTGGGTGAGAATTGTGCCTACTTATGTGAGGCATAAGCTCACAAGACCAGAACAAGAAGTTGTAGTGGCTGCCTCCTTTTTAGAAGGATCAGCAGCCTGCTGGTTAAATGACTTAGTGCAGCAACAGGGCTACGGTCAAAACTTCGATGCCTGGGCACAATCCCAGACATTGGAAGAGTTCATACGGTCCGTGTACAACAGGTGGCATGACCCACAAGGGGCTCAGAAGGCCACTGATGCTATCAACAACCTTTGTTCCCGAAGGTTCAAGAATGTTAGAGAGCTAACGGACGCCGTAGAACGACTAATCGTGGTACTTGGTGTGCGTTTTGACCAGCAGGTTCTCCTAACGGATTACCTAAGGTGCCTACCTTCAGAGGTAAGGACCAGGCTGGTTGACGAAGCCTATGTTGAACAGCACACCTTCGCTTCTTTTAGTAAGAAAGCTTTGGACATCGAGGCCAAGCTAGGATCTGCGCATCAGGCACCCAACGATGGTAGGAAGAGACTGCCCCAGGATTGGAAGAAAAAAGGTCAGTTAATGTTCGTTGACCACGATGGTCAAACGATGCAGATTGACGACTACTCGGATCTTGGGGAGTTCACAGAGCACGATGGGGGTGGTGAGACTTCAGATGGTGGAGTCGTGGCCCCCATCAAGGAAAAGGCTAGGGGGACCGGGAAGAAGAAGGTAGTACGGTCCACGGGTCAGGGCGACCAAGGGACACCCGAATGGGTGAAGATTGGTTTAGACTACGAGGTGTGGCGTGACCGCGTTGCTAGGGGTACATGCATGAACTGTGGCAACTATGGCCACACGTCTAGGACGTGCCGCGGCAAGAAAGTCACAACGAAGGTAGCCTCACCAACGGTGGTGGGCTTATCTTCGAACCCTGGGAGTGCTTCTGCGAGCAGCTCACAGGGAAACACCTCGGGCCAGTAGGAGTGTTAGCCGCTCTTACTCGCGCTGAAGTGGTAACGTTGCTTTCCCCACTTCAGGCGTTGGCCAAGGCTAGTGACCCACGTATCGCCCCGCAGACACATTCAGACCCACCGACGCTCTGTTCGAGAGATGTGTCTGAGGCCCTAGAAGAGTTAGAGACTGAGTGGTCAGGGAAGGACCCAGGGACTCTTGGGTGATGATCAGTAGAGGTCCAAAGGGTGATCATTTCGTGGTAGAAGTAGATGTAGGTGGCCGCAAGGTTGGCGCCTTCGCAGACATAGGCTCTACACGAAATTTCATCAGTCGTGCTTGTGTGGATAGACTGCGCTTAGGGGACCAAGTGCAGCGGCTTAGCAGAACTGTAGCTTCTACGCTAGCCAACAAGCACAAAATGGTAGTAAAAGACTATGTCAAGGACGTAGCCTGCACGTTCTCCTATGGAGAAGGGGAAGTGATCCACAAGATCTCCTTCCTTGTGAGCGACGAACTACCATTCGATATGTTACTAGGCATGTACTACCTCGAAGTCTCGCAACCTCAATTTGACTGGGATAGAAAGGTGTTGATCCACAAATTGCCCAATGGTAGAACTGTTAGATTGCTGAAGTACAAAGCTAGCAGTCTAATAGAGAACTACGGGTGTATGTGCGCTTCATCCTTCTATAACTATTATAAGCAGAATCAGGAGGAGGGCATGTATCTAGTCTTTGTCTCTGAAAAAGGGGAGGCCGTTAAATCACCCCCAGAGATAGAAAAAGTCGTCTCACAATATTCAGACCTTTTTGAGGAGCCCACAGGCGTGGTGGAAAGGGAGGTTGTCCATCCAATAGAAGTTGTCCCAGGTAGTAGGGTGCCTAGAGGAGGAATCTATAGGATGTCTCCTGCGGAGTTAGATGAGCTTCGCCGCCAGCTCAAGGAGCTCACAGAGAAGGGATGGATACGGCCTAGTACCTCCCCTTACGGTGCGCCAGTCTTATTTGTTCCTAAGAAGGGAGGTCCATTAAGGATGTGCATTGACTATAGGGGCCTCAATGCCATCACCGTTAAGAACGCGGAGCCCCTACCCCGCATTGACGACCTCTTGGATAGAGTGCAGGGATGCCGATACTTCACAAAGATAGACTTGAAGTCCAGATACCATCAAATTGCCGTTAGACCCGAGGACCAGCACAAAATCGCATTTTAGACCAGGTACGGTTTGTACGAGTTTGTGGTGATGCCTTTTGGTCTATGCAATGCGCCTGGTACGTTCCAGCACGCGATGAATAGGATCTTTCATGACTACTTGGACAAGTTTATCGTCGTGTACCTCGACGATATTCTCATCTTTAGTAGGACTGTAGAGGAGCACGCGGAGCACCTGAAAACAGTGCTAGGCCTCCTAAGACAGCACCAGTACAAGGTAAACTTGGATAAATGCGAGTTCGGTCGCACCAAGATCTTGTACTTGGGACATGCAATTTCAGCAGATGGATTGAGGCCGGAAGATGCGAAGGTGGCCAGCATACATGACTGGCCCAGACCTCAAACGGTTACTGAGGTCAGATCGTTTTGGGGGATGATGGGCTATTATCGTCCATTTGTGAAGAACTATAGTACTATAGCTTCCCCATTAACAGATCTAACTCGACTTGACACCCCTTGGGAGTGGACTGAAGAGTGTGAAGCAAACTTCAAGAAATTGAAGTATGATCTGACGCACTACGAAGATCTCAAACTTCTTGATCCTGACAAGCCGTTTGTTGTGACCACAGACGCCAGCCAATATGGCATAGGCGCGGTCCTTGCGCAACAGGAAGGGCCCAAGTTGAGACCGTGGAGACACTACCTCCTAGGAAGATTCTTCTATGTGAGGTCGGATCATGAGACTTTGCACTAGATTAAGACACAGCCATTCTTGTCGGACGCACTCAAGAGATGGATTCAAGTGATAGACATGTATGACTATCAACTTGATCCTATCAAAGGTACGCACAACAAAGTGGCTGATGCGTTATCAAGAAGGGCAGATTATCTGGGTGCGCTGGTAACTGAGTTTGGCATATCTAATGATCTCACTCGATCGTTGGTGGAAGCCTATCAGGGAGACCCAGTCATGTCAGAGATCATTCGTAGATTCAAGGCGAAGGATAAAAAGACTTTGGACGAATTTACGATGGT